GTGTGTGTGTGTGTGTGTGTGTGTGTGTGTGTTCTCTCGTGTGTGTGTGTGTGTGTGTGTGTGTGTGTGTGTGTGTGTGTGTGTGTGTGTGTGTGTGTGTGTGTGTGTGTGTGTAAACCTCTTATAACTTTTGAACGGTTGAACCGATTTCATCGCGGTTGGTGCCATTCGAAAGGGTTTCACTAAACTTAGATTGCCTGAAAATTTGAACCGATTCGGACCGATAGATTTTGAGAAATTTAGAGAAATCTCCAAAAAAATAGAAACAAATAGGAAAAAAATTTTTTTCAGAAGTGGTTTTTTTGGAATAACTTTTAAACGGCTCTACCGATCGATTTCAAAAACTAATCAGCTCTCAACCTTAAAAAAACCACGTCGATTGCCGCCAATCCGGTCAAAATCGGTTGATTCGTTCAAGAGATATCGTGAACGAAAAAAAACCGAAAAAAGTGTTTTTTCGGAATTACTCCGAAATTTCTAGTTTAACCAATTGAAACTTAAGAATTCTTTATGAGAATTAAAAAACTGCGTAGAATGCCGCCAACCGCGTGAAAATCGGTTGATTCATTCAAAAGTTATTGCGATTTGAAAATAAAAAAAATCTGGAAAACGGTTGACCCTAAAGGCCATCCCTGCAACTTCCCGCCAATTCCATACCTAAACGCTTGAGATTGCACTTATGCCGTTTCTGAGCTCTTCGAGCTCAAAAATACAATTTGTGTGTTATTTCAAGCTCTCCAAGCTCAAAGAAATAGCTTTTGTATGCTTTTGAGCTCTTCGAACTCAAAAGGCTGATAGAAGTTTAATTAAACAGTATTTTTTGAATTGTTAAGCTGCAATAATAATTTCTAAATGAATGAATCGATTTTCACGTGGTTGGCAGTATTCCACGCACTTTGTCAGAATCTATGATATACTTTTGAACACAAACAGATCGAACCGAAAATCTCAGAGAAATTTGAAAAATTCACTTTTTCCGAATTTTTTCGACAACGATAACTCACGAAACAATCAACCAATTTTCACGTTCTTGGTAACGATCGACGTGATTTTTTGGGCTCTTATAATTATTCTATTTCGTCAAAAATGAGCCAAAAACAAATCTCGACGTTATATGACAAAAACAGTTTTTTTCGAAATTTTTCGTTTTTGATAACTCTCGAACAAATCAACCGAATTTGATGGGACTGGTGGCAATTGATGTGGTTTAACCAGTCTAAGCGATCGACGTATCTTTTCAAGTTTAAGAGCTTATTAGTTTTTGGAAGTGATCGGTGAAGCCATTTAAGAGATATTTTGAAAAAAAATTTTTTTTTGAAATTTTTCGTTTTCAATATCTCACGAACAAACGAACCCATTTCGATCGGTCCAACGGTGATCGACGTGGTTTTTTAAGGTTAAGAGCTGATTAGTTTTTTAAAGTGATCGGTGAAGCCATTTAAGAGATTTTTTAAAAAAATATTTTTTTTGAAATTTTTCGTTTTCGATATCTCACGAACGAATCAACCGATTTTGACCGGTCCAACGGTGATCGACGTAGTTTTTCAAGGTTGAGAGCTGATTAGTTTTTGGAATCGATCGGTAAAGCCGTTTAAAAGTTATTCCAAAATAACCATTTTTCAAAAATTTTGTTTTTGAGATTTCTAAAAATCTAGCAAACTGAATCGATTCAAATTTTTACGAAATTTGATGGCTATGATACTCTTTGGATCGCCACCGATTTCGATCCGATCGGCCAAGCCGTTCAAAAGTTATAAGAGGTTTACACACACACACACACACACACACACACACACACACACACACACACACACACCTGTGTGTGTGTGTGTGTGTGTGTGTGTGTGTGTGTGTGTGTGTGTGTGTGTCTGTGTGTGTATGTGTATGTATGTATGTATGTATGTATGTTTGTGACCCTCTTATAACTTTTGAACGGCTTGACCGATTTCATCGCGGTTGACGCCATTCGAACGGGCTTGACCAAACTTATATTTTGAATACCATTTCGACCGATTCGAACTCAGTAGTTCGAACTCAAAAAAACTACAAAAAAAAATTTTTTGAAATGTGGTCTTTTTGAAATTACTTTGGAATGGTTTCACCGATCAATTCCAAAAACTAATCAGCTCTAAACATCGAAAAAACCACGTCGATCACCGCAAGCCCGGTCGAAATCAATTGATTCGTTCGTAAGTTATCGTTGTCGAAAGCCAACCGAAAAAAGGGTTTTTCCGGAATTACTTTGAAATTATTGGCTCGATCGATTTAAACTCGAAGATTCTTTATGAGACTTTAAAAACTGCGTCGAATGCCGTCAACCGGGTGGAAATCGGTTCATTCGTTCAAAAGTTATTGCGGTTTGAAAATTCAAAAAATAGTGTTTTATTAAACTTCTATTAGACTTTTGAGCTCGAAGAGCTCAAAACTACACGAAATAGTATATTACGACCCTCTAGGCCAGAAAGTTTTGGTCATGGGTTGTGTACTATTTTTCTTGATTCCCATCCAAAAATACGGAAACACGTAGCCAGAAAAAACTCGTAGTCCACTAGAGCGCGCTGTAATTCAAACGAGCCACAAAAGTCGTGCTTTCTGGAATGAAACGCGGCCCAAAAGTTCGTATTTTTGGGTCAGAGATCAAGAAAAGGAATTTTTAAATTGTCATTTATTTATTTCAATTTCAGTGTAGCGCTAACGTAAGTTTAGACCGTTTGACTTTTAATTTGGACCTAACTTCCCCTAATTATAGAAATAAAGTGAATATCGCATTTGTCCTAACCAAGATTCGAATCCGTGCCGTGCGCTTTTTAGATCGATAACTAACCCCTATGCCGTATGACCCATGAGTTGGTGCACATCTCATCATTCTTATAAGCTAACTCTATATGGTGACAGAGTGTGACGGTTAATTATATATATAACTTATGTTATTTTATATTGTGTTTCGATGAAAATTAAATATTTTTACAAATACTTATTAATTTGAAAAGTGCAAAAGTCAAGTTCTTATATTACTTTAGACTTTGTACACCGTTCTGTATATTTTTTATATCTTATAGTAAATTTTAATTTTTAAAACTATCAATATTAAAAATTAAACTGCAAATTATTATATTTCAATTTTTTTAAGACTATCAATTTTGACGATGTGCAATTATTTATGTTGACTTATATATCAATTAAGGATGTAACTTATAAACATAACTCCTCAAATAGATTATGGATTTGACTCAAAATGTATCATAAGCACTACCTATTTTAAATCGGCTCACCCAGTTTTGGCCCAAGTTTAGGTTTCCTATTGAATGGCCAAGTTTAGGTTGTCCAATCCTGGCCCAAGTCTGTGTCGCCATTAAACGGCCAAAGCTAGGCTTCCTAGTCTTGGTCCAAGTCTGGATTGCCATTGAATGGCCAAGACAAGGAAACCCAGTCCTGGCCCAAGCTCGGGTAATCATTCGGTTGGTCACGATTGAACACTCAGTATTGATTCAAGCATGAGCTAATGTTCGTGCGCCGAAGCTGGGTTGCCAATGCTGACAAGAATGGCCCCGTCGTTCACCTTTGGCAGTTCCTATGTGGGCCAGTCAATTTCAATTTTTTAATAATTATAAATTAATGACTCTGAATTAGTCAACTACACACGGAGAGAATTTTATGTTTACGGTAACCATCCCTATTTTGTAGCTTCTACTATCCATGATGGTTATTAACTTTTACAAAGTTAAGATGATAAATGCAACTATCCGGTGATTGTAATTAGTACAATCAATATATATTAATTCCCACAATTATGA